AACACACGTACAAAAGATTTATATAAGTTATGGTGACATGCGAAATTCTGAAATTCTCTTTTACTATGAGTGGCCTACTTTGCGCTTAATAAGATATAGTTTTCATTCAGCGCCGCCACAACAACAATAGCGAATGCAATCATAGCATAAAACCTGTTTTGGTTGGAGTATTATCAGTGAGTATCGCAGCAACAGTACTGTGGAGTAACATTGAGTCACTAACCGATTTTTACCTCTCCCACTGGCGTCAACCGTAATGCGGACTTTTGGAAATCGGTTCACTCATTAACATTGAAGCTGAGCTTGATGAGCATGATGAGTAGAATATAAAAAAAGCAACCAGCAGAATAAATTAGACGGCGAACGGAAGAAGTCGTGCAAACAATTAATTTGTAATATCATTAACTTTAACTGGCGCCCAACGTGGGGCACATCGAGTTCAGAAAAGCAAAAGGACATAGAATCCTTACGAAATATGACAATTTCCATAGTGAAAGCATAATCGGTGGAGCTCCAGTATCCTAACCCATAACTTCGTGGAATCCTGTAGTTGAATTCTGCAACCCTTCCTCACATCGAATAAAAGGAAAATTCGTGCAACAATCAAGTCAACACTGTACGTGTGTCTGGCGAATTGACGAAGGATTTTAAAACTAAGTAAAACGAACGAGGATACTTATTTAACATTCAATTAAGAATTTTTGTAAGTTGGTCCTTAAAATTTGTAAAAGTGAAAAAAAACGTTGTTATACAGAATTTATTTATCAATTAATATTTTTACTGTGGAAATTTAACACGCGAGAATTCTTCTGGAACACGGATTAACCCTGCGATCGCACTAGGTAACTCTAGTTTGGATTTGATTAAGTCCTTACCTGAATTTAGTGGTGAAGCTTCCTCTTACCCAGCATGGCGCTGTGCAGCCAATTTTGCCATTAGTCATTATAATGAGGGTTCAGAAAAATATTATGTGGCAATAGGCATTCTTAGGAATAAAATAACAGTGACACCAATTTGACACTCCCCTCCTTTAACACTGGGCTAAATTTCAAAGCAATAATTGCTAGACTCGACCAAACATATGCAGATAAACGTCCAATTTATGTTTTAGAAAATGAGATGAGTATTCTAAGGCAGGGTGACCTTTCCATCACGGATTATTACGATACGGTCGATAAACATTTAACACTCATAATTAATAAACAAATTATGGCTCATGGAGAAAATAACGAGATAATTGAAGCTCTTAACGAACGAGCAAGAGAAAATGCACTTCGCATTTTTATCTCTGGTCTCCGTCGCCTCCTCTGTAATATCCTTTTTTCGTCAAGACCAAAAAGACCTTCCTATAGCATTAGCTGTCGCACAAGAGTTGGAAACAAATAACAAACGGTATAATTTCGCACATACATTTGCCATGGGAAACTCAATAAACCCATCTAGAACTACGCCAATTATGCCATATCGCAAGCAGTTAGCTGCTCCAAATTCACACCCGATTCCGATGGAAATCGATCGCAACACTTCGATTCATTGCCATCCCCTACCTCATTTAAACAGGGACCCAAACCAAATGCAAAGTCACAAAGTTAATCCAGCCTATGCTAACAACCAGCAACAGCAGAAGATAGTTTTCACACGTCTTCGCGAACCATCTGGATTCTTCCAGAGACCTCAGTTAAAAACACAACGAGTTATCATATGCCCGAAGCGATGGCTACAGTGTATGACGAGTCCAGTTACGAGGAGCATAACGATCATTTTAACCTTTCGTACGCTAATAATGGGCACCATAATGAGCTCGAATATGACGGTAGCAATTGGAACGACGAGATCAATTTTTTAGATTGAATTCGCTCCTACCATTCATAACAAAAACCACAACAAATGGTCAGGAGCTGCGAATACTAATTGATACCGGAACTTCTAAAAATTACATTAAAGACCTTCCTTTCCTACAGGGAATTCAGTTAATGGAAAAGCCGTTTATTTTAAAACCAATTAACGGAATTAACCCCATTAATAAAAAGTGTTTAATCACTATTCTTGATTATACCTCAACATTTTATTTGCTAAAAAATTTAAACTCATTCGATGGTATAATCGGGTATGACTTCCTTAAACGCATTGAAGCCAGCATCGACATAGAATCAGGATATCTATATCATCGAAATGGTAAAATGCAACTTCAGCATCTGTATTGTAATCAAGTTAATTTAATAACAATTGCAGAAGAATCTGTTCCCGTAAATATCCGTACCCGATTTCGACAAATGATTAATAATAACATAAATGCGTTCGCGAATCCGAACCGAGCTTTACCTTACAACACAAAAGTGGAAGGTACTATTCGCACTCTCACAGAGGAACCCATTTATAGTAAAAGCTATCCCTACCCAATGTCAGCTTCTGCATTTATTAACAATGAAACCGGTGCCCTCCTAAAGGATGGAATAATTCGCAAGCCCTGCTCTCCATACAACTCACCCATTCATGTCGTGACAAAGAAAGGTACCGACGAGAATGGAAAGCAGAAGTTGCGAATGGTAATTGATTTTAGAAAACTCAACGAGAAAACAATCCCTGATCGCTACCCTATACCTGACACTACTGTCATACTAGCGAATTTAGGCAAGTCACGCTACTTCATTACCCTAGACTTGAAATCGGGCTTTCATCAAATTAACATGCGCGAAAGAGATAGGCAAAAGACAGCATTCAATGTAAATAATGGCAAATACGAATTTTGTCGCTTGCCATTCGCCTTAAGGAATGCGCCAAGTATCTTTCAACGCGCAATAGATGATGTTCTGCGAGAAAATATTGGTAAAACATGTCATGTTTATATCGATGACATCATTATTTTTTCTCCCGATGCGGAATCACATTTAGTTCATGTCAATACCATTTTAAAAAATTAGAAGCGTCAGGAGTGAGGGTGTCATCTGAAAAATCACAGTTTTTCAAAACGGAACTCGAGTTTTTGGGATTCTTAGTCTCGCAAAATGGGATAAACACTTGTCCTAGTAAGATTAGGGATATTATTAATTACAAAACACCAGAAACGTTACGCGATTTGCGCTCTTTCCTCGGCCTTGCAGGCTATTATCGTAGATTCGCCAAGGATTATGCCGCCATGGTTAAGCCTTTAACAAAATATTTACGAGGGGAAAATGGTCACGTCGGAACAAATACATCAAAAAAAAATTAAAATCACTCTAGATCCAGAAGCTTTGTCTGCATTTGTTAAAATCAAGAAAATCCTTTCATCGGAAGATGTCCTCTTACAATATCCTGACTATAATCAACCATTTGAATTAACGACCGACGCTTCGTCTAACGCTTTGGGTGCAGTGCTATCCCAACATAATCGGCCCATAACAATGATTTCGCGTACTCTTTCCGTAACTGAACAAAATTTTGCTACAAATGAACGCGAAATGCTAGCTATAGTTTGGGCTTTAAAAACTCTCCGTCACTATCTATATGGTATTAAAAACATACACATTTTGACCGACCATCAACCACTTATACCACTTATATTTTCAATTTCCGAAAATAATCCAAATACTAAAATGAAGAGATGGCGTGCCTTTGTTGAGGAGTTTTCACCAACCTTCCATTATAAGCCAGGAAGGGAAAACATAGTGGCTGATGCCCTTTCTAGGCAATTCATTAATAATCTTAGTGAATTGAGTGAAACAATACATAGCGAACAATCTCTCAGTTACGTAATTAAAACAATAAAGTCCCCAGTAAATCAATTCAAAACCCAGCAGATTTTGTCAAAAGGTGCAACTGTAAACAAACGTACAAAAATTCTTTTCCAAAAATTTTTCCGCCACACAATTAGTTTCGACACTATAGAAAACTTGTTATTGTGTTTAAAAGATGTGATAAACCTAAATACGACTAACGCAATACATTGTGACCTCGAAACATTAGCAAAAATTCAAAATCCTTTAGTATCGTCTTATCCTGGAGTTAAATTTTTACATACGGAACTGCTGGTAATAGATTTAACAAACAAAAACGATCAACTAGAAACGGTTGCCACTGAGCATAACCGCGCTCATCGTTGCTTGCAAGAGAATTTCAAGCAAATTTCAAGCGAGTATAACTTTCCCCACATTAAAAAGCTTTTAAAATCTATAATTGTTAATTGTAAAATATGCTTGGAGAACAAGTTTCAGCGTAAACCAATCAACTTAGCAATAGCAAAAACACCAATTCCCAATTATCCTGGAGAAATTTTGCATCTCGATATTTTTATAACAGATAAACAACATTTTCTAACATGCATCGATAAGTTTTCAAAATATTGCATTGTGAAACCTATTTCGTCCCGATCTTCATTAGATATTAAGGATGCACTACTCGAAATGCTGTTAATATTCCAAAATACAAAGTTAATTGTTTCAGACAATAAAAAATTTAATAAAAACCATCTTAAGAGATAATTTTTCAATTACGCAATTTTTTGTCCCAACACTGCATAGTGAAACCAACGGGCAAATCGAAAGGTTTCACTTAACTCTTATGGAGATAGCCCGTTGCATTAAAGAACAGCAACAGCTGAACGAAACTGTAGATCTCCTTCTTTTAGCGACCCATAAATACAACCATTCCATACACTCTACAACAAATGCCAGGCCCATTGATATTTTTTATAACTGTTCACCTGAAAAGCTATTCGAAGTCCGCGAAAGATTGGTTAAAACACAGGAAAATACCCTAGAGCGGTATAATCAAAATAAAGGAATGAAAACTTATGAGCCTGGAGAAAAGGTTTTCTTGAAAAGAAACAAAAGATTGGGAAATAAATTTAGTAGAATTTTTGTTGAAAAAACGATCGAAGGAGATTTAGGTACTACGGTTTTAATAGACGGAAAAAAAATCCATAAAAGTAATCTCAGATGAGTATTTCAATTTTCCTTATGTGTCTAACAGTAACATAAATGAACACACATGCAAATAAAGTCACAAGAACAATTAATAAATTTTTTTTTCCTTTTCATCAATTTCGAATATTTACAACAACAACAATAAATAAAATCTGTAATAAATTAAGATAACTCTTTATCATAAGCTATTCGAGTTACATATAAAAGAAACAAAAACCAAAATGTATTATTGTATGTTAAGTATTCAAACTGTAAAGCAATCTAAAATGTCATTGACACAAATTATAAATTATTTTTCATTACATTCGAAAATTTACACATATAAACCTTAAGTAGAAATTGTAATAAATTAACGCTTTGTACTAAGCCATTCGAATCACACATAGATTTAAAATGAATTATTATATTGTTAAGATATTTAAATTGTAAAAACATGTAAATTATGCTCAATCATGCTAAACAAGCCGCCAAAATTGCAAACAATTATGATAATCAAAATTTGTGAACACTTCTACCCAATACCATCAGTTGCCGAACTTAAAAGTAAATAGACTTCCGCAACAGGGACGTTCCGGACTTAACAAGGAGGGTAATTATGGTGATATGCGAAATTCTGAAATTCTCTTTTACTATGAGCGGCTTACTTTGCGCTTAATAAGATATAGTTTTCATTCAGCGCCGCCACAACAACAATAGCGAATGCAATCATAGCATAAAACCTGTTTTGGTTGGAGTATTATCAGTGAGTTACGCAGCAACAGCACTGTGGAGTAACATTGAGTCACTAACCGATTTTTACCTCTCCCACTGGCGTCAACCGTAATGCGGACTTTTGGAAATCGGTTCACTCATTAACATTGAAGCTGAGCTTGATGAGCATGATGAGTAGAATATCAAAAAAGCAACCAGCAGAATAAATTAGACGGCGAACGGAAGAAGTCGTGCAAACAATTAATTTGTAATATCATTAACTTTAACTTATATATAAAGATATATAGACTGACTGCCAGGCGGCTTTGAAATCTCTAATGTCTCATAGGATTTCGTCTAAGACAGTGAAATAATGCCTTGATGAAAAATAATGATATAAGAACTCTAATAGGCGTACTGTGGCAGTGGCCTGTCTAATAGGCAGACATGCAAGTAGACTTGAAACGCCATAATATATAACGACTATTGTAGAAGCTGTTAGGAGGTCGAAGAGGAGGAGACCATTAAACATCTTCTATGAGATTGCACGGCTCTATACAGGAAAAGAATCGTAGTCATCGGTCGAGGGTTTCTTGAAGACATATCTCGGAGGTTGCATGGATAAAACTTGCCTTACTAATGAAGTTCATCATTATTGTCTCTATTTTTGTGTAAATTATATACATGTGTAATATAATAAAATTATTTGCAAATTTTTATGCGCTGAGATTTTTTGCAGTATCTTTTTGGGTATGCGTCGTTGGCAAGAACTTATTTGTCGTTGCATTGGTACTCATGTGAACGTACACCAACTCATTGGAAGCGCATTATTTTCTTTGCTGCATCGCGTTTTACTGCTCATACAATAAATCTGCGTGCGTATTGGTTGACAGCTTGGTTGTTATTACCATCCTCGCCCCCAAATGGAATCTAGTGATAAACACTGCCTTCGAAATCGCAACAAGCGCAAAACAGCCTTTTCTGCTTCATATTCTTATTCTAAAAATAGTCCAGCGGTTAGAACAAATGTTAGTGCAGTAGTCAAGTACAAACTCACGTATTGTCGCAATTTTATTTCAGCTTTTTATAAAAAGGAAAAGACGTTTTTTTTTATTTAAACGAAGAAAACATCAAGTGTAAACAATGATACAGGACTATACTGACATCATCAGCCATCAAAGATCTAATTTGTGGTCCATCGAATACTTCTTTTATATTGACCGCATATGCGGTATGAAGACATTACATATTGACCGCGATATGCGGTATGAAGTCTACTGGAAGTTCGAAAATGTTTATATTAGGTATATGGGAGCTTAGGGAAGTAATGCCCGACTTTTCCCATTTTTTACACAAGGGTATGCTGTTATCAGAAAAAGATTATATCCGTATTTCAATAATGTATCTGACAGATCAACCGATATTTTCGGTAAAGTCATCCATAGGCAGTATGTGGAACCCACATACTCTGTATATGGTACCTTGAAAAGTTATGGTCTGATATCGACAATTTATCATCCGATTTCACCCTAAACCACAGACGCCAACAACGTCCTCATGTTCCGCGCTTGGTTGATATCGCATTGTTGGTTTTTGCGATATGTACATAACACCTATTGGGGCGGGGTCGCGGGCACATTCCAAAAATTTTTTAACCACAGATATCCCTTCTCATTTTAATCGTCTGCACCAAATTTCATTTTTGTTGCTTAATTTACGACTTAGTTATAGCAATTTATATTTTTCGATTAACGCCAGTTTTTGGGCGTCGGAATGCTAAAGAACATTTTCATTGAGTTATATCAATTTTTACTCAAGTTGACGCTTGCATGGATAGACGGACAGACAGACATATGGAATTCAAATTCTTGTTACCCTGATTACTGTGATATATACACAGGTTGCGAATAAATTTTACCACGGCTGAAAATTTTATATTGCTGTACATTTATTTCAAATATTTTCCAACTTTTTTTCTTTTTATGTGTTAAGCACTTATTTGGGATTCGTCTGAGTTACTGTTGACATTCCGTTAACTACAGTTGCTTGCGATTTTTCGTTAAATTTGCTCTATGCTCAATATATTTTTTATTACAGCAAGTATGAAGAGACTGAAAAGTACTCAAAAAATTGTAATTATTATTTTAAAAGAAAAAAATTACAGCGGTAGGGAGGTTAAAAAACGCATACGATGTAGCCATGTATCCATTACGAAGTTTTATAAATTATATGACGCAACTAAATCTTTGGAAAGAGCTCCTGGAAGTGGATTCGCAAAGAAAAAAACATCAACTAGGATGGACCGAAATTAAAGGAACCTACCTAACCTGGGGAACCGATTTTTTACTTCAGTGGAGCTAAGCTCAGAGTTGCAGGAGTGATATTCGGTGGACGTAAGTGCACGCACGGTACGCAGGAGACTCTATAATATGGACCTTAAAGCGAGAAAGCCAAGAAAAAAAGGCTCTTCTAAATGCCAAAATGCACACGGAACGCCTGATTTTTGCCCACGAACATCGAAATTGGACTCTTTGGAAAATACTTATGTTCACTGTTTAAAGGTGAAAGGATATTTGGAACGAGGCGGTATAAAAGCTCTGAAATGACCAGGAAATTTGCCCAGATTTAAATCCTATCGAGAATTGCTGGGCTTTTTTAAAAAAAAGTTGCAAGGAAAACTCCTAAGAGTAAAGCAGAGTTAAAATCAGAAAAAAATGAAACATGGAATGCCCGAAAGCATTACGGCTGTTCTGAAAGCTCAAGGAGAGCATACAAAATACTAACTTTTATTTTAAAGGTTTATTTCTAGTTATAAGACCTATCTTTACCAGAAGAACGAAAAAAAAATATAAGTATCTTATTAGTTGTAAGAACAAAACTATTACAACCGTATTGTGGGAAGTTATTAGATCATAGTTGTCATTATGTTATTGCGGAAGGCTGCAGAAACCAGCATACTTAACAATGCAACCCTGAGTTTACATTTTTGTTCAAAGGATTTGGTATCATTGTTCAAATTTTCGGAAAAATCGTACAACGAAACAATAAAAATGAAAGCATGCTCACTCTTATTATTTTATGGCTAACTGTATGTAAATATTCTTACTATACATGAGATACTTACATACTGTTGGATGTATTCCAATGCATATAAAACGTTTTGGCGCAATTAGAGACAGTGGAGAGTAGAACAGTCTCTAGGCAAATGAGCGTCAGTAACGTAAAAAATGACGTTGCACCCACACTAGGGAGCAACCGGAATTTCGTACGCAATGAGCTTCGCGATGGGTGCACAGACGAGATATCTATTGCAGCTGCTTTACAGCGTGTCGTTGCCGTCGAGGTTCCTGCTGCAGTAAGTGCTGCTCCGGATGCTGTGCTTGTCTTGTTTAGTTGACTCACGACTCTAGTACTTTTCGTTGTTATCCTAATGCATGTTGTTAACACTCTGGATGAAGTGGTTAATCCTAATATAGAATTATGCAGAAGTTTCATAAATTGGTGCCAAGCTTGCGGAATAACGGACACGTCTAATAAAGTTTGTGCTAATGTCGATAATGCTAATGCTGCCGTCGATGTTGATGTGGGTGTTAACGCTGTGTTTGATAAAGACGCCGATATTTGCTCCTTAGCTGACTCAGGTGCAGGCGCCGACCGTAACGATATTTTACCGGACATTAGTAATGTATTCGGAAACTTCATTGTCGCTTTCGCATTTGCTGGCACAGTTTCCATATCGCCCGCTGTCGTTTGAATGGCTCTAGATTGGATTCGACATAATTTACCAGTACGACATTTAACCTTGTGATGACTGCCCTTTTGTAAAGGTTTGTTAATACGCAACGCCGATGACGCTATATCCGCTGACTTCCCAGCTGCAATACCACAAACGTTGTCAGCTATGAAATTTGTAGTTAGTAACGCTGATGTTGTCAACGGCAATACTTTTTTCTCGCTTTGCCTTTGTAAGGTTTTTTTAAAACCATTACCACTATCTAGTTTACTGGTTATCGGGATACCTAGCTCCCTTCGTGGTATAGATTTGTTCGCCTCTTTGAACACATAATTCGTGTTGTTTCCAGTGATGGTACTACTGGAGTCGCTGGAAATCTTCTCTTCTCGTTTTTTGTTCGTAGCACACAATTTATCACACGAGCTCGCTCCAAAAAAGTTGTTGCTGTATTCGGTGACTCTGCTTTTACACCGATTGCTATTCATATATGTGGTGTGCAATGGTTCAATGTTATTAACACATTTATGGCAAGATGATATTTTCGAAAAGAAGTCTTCTCTAGGGAAAATATCATTTATTTCGTGTAATGATTTCAACGCATGGTTGATATGCCTATTGCCATTGCTCTTAACAAAACCAGCTTTACCCACGATTCCCATGTTCATTTTAATCTAGCTATTGATCTTTTTCTATGGGCTGTTCAGACAATTACAAACTACTGGCTAGTCAGCTTACTCTCTGGTCTCCATGCATAAGAAATAAATGTCGTTCGATGGTCCTAATTGCTATGAAATATATTATCGCAAAACGCTTTCCACTCACTCCAAGTTATAACTGTCTGCAAATAGAAACATAAATAAAGCATTATTTTTCCTTACAAAAAAAAAAAATTAATAAATAAAAGCCAAAACAAATAGAACCTTATATAGTAACTGAATATATTATATATAAAAATAAATGTACGTAGAAAAAAGTACAAACTGACCTCAAATATGCACCAGAGAGTTACTGTGTACGCATTGTGATTTTAGAATTTTTAATTTATATTTATTTTTCACTTTTTAGTTTAATGTTCTTTAAATGCATGTTTTTTAGTATTTTAAACCATACTTATTATTTGGCCACACGTGGTGTTTTCACTTTGTTTAAGGATGCGTTTGAGTAAATTTGTTATTCAATAGATGATAGTTGATGTTTTTAGGTGCATAGTTTTATAGTCGTTGTACAATATCGGTAATTTTCACAGTGTGTCATAGGAATGAATGGGTAACCTCACATACCAAATTTGGTTGCAATTATTTCGATAGTTCCTGAGATATAGGATTTCACTTAAACGTTGGAGCCGCCACGCCCATTTTCCAATTTTTACACCTCCTCCTAAAAGCTTTTCCCTAACATCTTGTTTTTGAAATTTAATGCTTATAGCGCATTAATTTCGTGAGTTATCGCACTTCTAGTAGTTTTCAACATATGGGGAGTGAGGTGATTATTATCTAATTTTACCCATTTTTACACAGTATGAAAAAGTGATAAAAAGAGGTCGTCCCAGCAAATTTTGTTGAATTAGCTCCAGCGGTTTGGAAGATATTTACATTGAGCCATTTAGTGGGCGGGGCTACGCCCACTTTGAATTAAATTTCAGCCAAAAGGTGTCCCTTATTACCATGATACCAAATTACAGTTCAGTATCTTAGTTTTGGTAATTTATAGGTTTTCTTTAAATTGCGATTTGTGGGCGTGGCGGTCGTGCGGTTACGACCATCTGCAATACCGATCTCCCTTGGGTGCCAAGGAACATATGAAACAAGTTTCATACAGATATCTCAATTTATACTCAAGTTATGGCTTGCACAGAAAAGTTACATACATTCAGATAAAAATATACAGGTGGAGCTAATAAAAGCGTAATAAAAACTAAAAATCCTGGACATGGCCGGAACAAATATAAAGGCAGCATCAACAGACAAAACAAGAAAAAACATTAACTTTTGCACCGAAGCACCTTTATAACCAGTGTAAGAAGGGAGGTGCTTGACATCACTCTTGGTAACGAAGTCATGACAGGGCTGATCGGGCAATGCAGAGTGTCATCGGAACGCTCCATGTCGGATCACCGCACCATAAGATTCGCACTAGGGCTAGAGGTTAGGCAACTCCCTCCCAGGCGTATCCCCAAAAACACGGACTAGGCCACCTTTAGAGGCTGCAAGGCTGCATAACAGGCAGATCAACCAATACCGCTCTGTATCAGCTGACCTCAGAGATCCGAAGTTCGTTAGACGGGGGTGAGGTGTTGTTATGCGCCTTCCTTGACATCGAAGTTTCTTTTGACAATACGTCAAACGAGAGCGTGTCAAATGCACTAGAGAAAAGGGGTGTGGCGGTGCCGGTGCGCAGATGGATTGAAGCAGAACTGTGCACCAGGATTGCCGAAACCACAGTAGGCGACACTAAGATTCGTCTTGGCACAACAAGAGGCTGTCCACAGGGTGGAGTGCTATCCCCCTTACTTTAGAGCCTAGTTGTGGACGATATTTTCGAGCTGCTAACTAGCAACGGAATCCGCTGTCAGGGATATGCGGACGATTTTGTTATATTAGCTAGGGGAAATTCGCAGACACTCTCTGCGATATTGTTCAAAGGGGATTGAGGCTGGCAAAGGAATGGTGTAGTGGGGTTGGCCTAAACATCAACGCCTCCAAAACTACAATCATACCGTTTACCAGACGCAGGTTGCTGCCAGGCCTCAGAAACCTATCCCTAGGTGGAACGGAGCTGGAGATGGCCAGCACGGTAAAGTACCTGGGCTTCACGCTGGACTCCACTCTACGGTGGAAGCAGCATGTGGACCTAACCGTAGCCAAAGCTACGAAAGCGCTCATGGTGTGCAATCGACTTGCTGGGAAATCATGGGGCTGCAACCCAAGGATTATCAGATGGTTCTACACCATGATTGTGAGATCGATCATAACATATGGAGCGGTGGCCTGGGGTTCCAAAGCATCGCAGACCTCGGTAGGACTTCGACTATCGAGGCTGCAACGACTTGCCTGCATTTGCGCGTCGGGCGCGATGTGCACGTGTCCGACTGGAGCAGTGGAAGTAATACTGGAGCTAACACCGTTACATATAGTGATCGAGCAGACGGCCAAACACACCTTGCTTTAAATGTCAGCAGAAGGGTTTGGCAAAGGGAAGGTAATCTCGTCCCAGCAGATGAAGGCCCTAAGTGACGCAATGCCACTGGCATTCCGAGGGACAGCATTACCAAAACAGTAAGCTTCACTAGGAAGTTCAGGGTTACCCTTGGCAGTAAGGCAGAATGGAACGATTTCACGCTGGACCTACTACTAAGGAACAGTACTATCAAGTGGTACACCGACGGCTCGAAAACGGCGGAGGGGATTGGCGCAGGGGTCGCAGGACCACGCACCAAGCATTCCATTCCCATGGGAAGTTTTCTTAGCATATTCCAAGCGGAGGTACATGCTATAAGTCGGTGTGTAGAAATAAACCTCCAATGCGACTTCCGCAATAAGAGCATCGCCATACTAAGCGATAGTCAGGCAGCACTTAAAGCGATCTCGGCTTTTGAGGTCAAATCGCTACTAGTGCAAGAGTGTATAGAACGGTTGAACAACCAATCAAGCCGCAACCAAGTGCACCTTATTTGGGTGCCTGGTCACATAGATATAGCCAGTAATGAACTGACTGAAAAGCTAGCCCGCTCTGCAGCCTCCACCAGAATGGAAGAACCGGAACTGTACATCGTGGTTGATTCTCATACCATAAAGGAGCTGCTCCGTAAAGAGGAAAGAGCAGGCAGGGAGAGACACTGGCAAAATCTCCAAGGCATGCGCCATGCCAAGTTGCTAAAGGGGGGTTATAACCTCAGACGGTTTAAAACCGTAATCAATCTCCCGAGGAACAAATTCCGACTTCTGGTCGCGTTCTACATCGGACATTGCAGGCTTAACAAGCATTTATTTAACAGGGGCTTGGTCTCCTCTGCAAACTGCCGGTTCTGCGACAGGGAGTCGGAAACCCCAGACCACTTACTAATTGACTGCACACCAGTCTGCAGACGTAGAGTCAAGGCCCTGGGATCCATTTCCAAACAGGGATCGCATCGCCTCATTGGCACCTAGCAGCATATTGGAGTTCATCAATATGCTAGGGCTAGATAAATCGCAGTGACTTAGGGGAGGGCACAATAGACCATAGGTCGCGGTGCATACCTCAATCATTATCTACAGTCTATAATACCCTTTCTTTGCATGTACATTTTTTATAACATAAAAGGGTAGAAAATATCTTTATATTGATTTTGATCGGCCAATTTGTATGGCAACTATATGCTACAGTTGTCCGATCAAATATTTTCGAGATTGTACGGTTGCTTTGGACAATAAACCATGCAAATTATTTTGGATGTACATATCATTTATTCAAAAAAAAACCCTTTTGGACGATCTGAACTAAATGTAAAACAAAATGGTTCCTGAAAAATAGAACTACACAGCTAGTATTTCCGACCAAACCTAAAAAGTATTTGTTTCTTCTATGGAAAAAAGCAATAAAGCGTACTAGTTGGGCTTTAGTTGTAAGCTAGTTCAATCTAGTGATTTTTACTGTTCCGTATGTATGCATGGACTTCAACTTTCAATATTAACAATCATGATGTAAACACACAATCATAAAATGATAAAACCAAAAACAAAATACGAGTATATCTACACAAACATACTCGTATACATGTGTCTCAGAACAAAAGTAACAGACAAACGAGACGAGATTCGATAGTAATTCTTTTGACCGAAAAATTCTTTGCAAATGGACCGGTTTGGCCTGGCCGGTTGGGCTTGGTATGCAAGGTATTTGGATAACACTTTACTTTTTTCAGAATGTTCATTGCACAGAATTTTAAATATAACATATTTGTATGTTCAAACTTCGTAGAATATTTAATGTACCCTATTCAATATTAAATGTCCTATGAAAGTTGTAACACCCAAAAGGAAACGTCGGAGACAGACTCCATTTCGCTATTATTCTGATCGTTTCTACTCTCTTGTCAAAAAATATTATATATAGGTAGGTAGGGAGGTAAAGTGGCTGTCTTTCGACCCACCTAGGCCTTTAGGAGGCCCATTGTGATACGACCGGGACTGTGGTCTCTCTGAACCACCCCGTACTTCTGATGAACTTCATTCGTAAGGCAAGTTTTATCCGTGCAACCTCTGAGACGTCGTCTAGTGCTGCGCACTCGCATAGAAGATGTTTAATGGTCTCCTCCTCTTCTACTTCCTGACAGCTTCTACAATAGTCGTTATATGGCGTACCAAGTCTACTTGCATGTCTGCCTATTAGACAGTGGCCTGTTAGTACTCCTACTAGAGTTCTTATATCATTCCGCTTGAATTTTAACAGTCGGCATGTGCGGCTCATATTCCATTCATACCACGTTTGCCTGCTAGTTGAGCAAGTCAGTAACTGATTCCACTGACACTCGGCTATGTTAATGACATGTATGTCGATTAAGTATCTACAAGTAGCCAAAAGGCATATATATGTCCTCCTTACCAGGATCTAGTTGTAGGGTGGTGCCTGTTCTGGCTTGTTCATCTGCTACACAGTTCCCGGGGATGTCACTGTGTCCTGTGACACATTGCAGATTTAATGAAGTGAATTTAGTGAAATAGGATGTCAGATCCGCTGGAAGATCATGGCATTCTTTCAACGTCTCTTTCTTGATGTGATCACACTTCTTGTCAGTACCAGAAAGCTTTCTTTAATTGCAGTGCCCTCCGCTTGGAAGACACTGCAGTGGTCTGGTAA